CTGTGGTGTATCACCAGGTATAAAAGGTTTTAGCACAGGAACTAGCGGTTTGCTGGACTATTAAGTAGGACAGAGATCAAAGGAGGTGCTATCAAAAATGAAGGAAACAAGACACTGGAGATCTCAGCTTGAACCATCAAGGCCTAAAAGATTTCTGACAAGCTGCTGAAGTTCTCAGGGTCTCTGAAAACCTATCCTCACCCTATCTTCCTCACTGCCTGCAGCTGTGAAAGGTATGATTCTCATGAGTTCCTCAGGAAGTTTCTATAAATCTCGTCTGCCTGAGGGTCTGGCTATAAATGGTTTTTCCCTTTTTACTTTCAAGTTTCACATAAGTTCTTCTCAGTGGCAAACTAATCTGGAATCATACTAAGACAGGGATCTGAGGAAATATGCTTTTCAGCTTCTCTTCTGCAAAAGATTCCAGAAGGGCAATATGGTCATTAAAAAACAAACAAACAAAACACCTAGTGCCTGTCACACAGCTGAGGCATAAGAAGTAGTGACCATCATCAGCATTAATGAAGCAAGAGATGCTAAGCAAGTGCTTAACTTCTTGATGTATGAAACTATTTCTCTTCCAGGATTTCTGTTCACCTCCAGCTTCCAACAAGGAATGGGTAGTCACAACCCTTGAAGGCAAGTGCTGAATGATTCAGTGGTGTTGAAAAATGAGAGGCTTTATGGGCTAATGGTGACACTCCTAGCACAAGAGTGAGACTTGAGGTCTAGTCCTGACTTTGGTGCTAATGGCTCTGTGATTTTGGACAAACTACTGAACCATCTTGCTGTTTTATCAAAGAATTCAAAAAGCTGCAATACTGAGAAGGGCATGTCATCTCTGGGGTGTTCTTTCTAAGAACACATCCCCTCAATCTAATCAAGAGAAAACAGGCAAACCCAAATAGGATGTTCTAAAAAGAAAAATAAATTGGTCGGTATCCCCCAAAATTGTTGAGGTCAAGAAAAATGAGACTGAGGAATTGTCAGAATAAAGGCGCCTAACAGAATAGACACAAAATAAATGCCAGAAGGGATCTTGGAATGAACCGGGAAGGCCAAAAAAAAAAAAAGTTAGTGGAAAACCAGGTGAAATATGAAGAATCTGGAGTTAGCAGTGTGGTACCCATATTAATTTCTGAGTTTAATTATTGTACCACAGTTATATAAGCTGATGACACCAGCTGAGTGAAATATACATAGGGACTCTGTACTATTTCTGCAATTCTGTAAGTCAAAATTAAGTCTTCTGTAAGTCCAAGTGAGAAGGTAAAAAATAGAAGAATGTGTTATCTAAATAATACCAAGAATAAATCATCGTTTTGTCCTGGGCCTGCAGATTACATAGCCAGTCCACATGGAAGTGCAGTATAAAACTGCACAAAACCCATTTTCTCTGGTAAAAAATGAACACCAGCAAAATGATTCCTATGAGTTTGAGGGAATCCTGGAAGGTGCAGATAGGAATTGCTTGATCTAAAAGGGCCTTAAGGGACAGAAATAACAATAAATAACAATGGCCAATGGCTAAAGACCAGATGGAACTAAAGGACATTTCAACTGATGATAGCTACAGAAAATGACAAGAATCCCTTGCTTGGCATTGTTCAAAACCCCTAATACTTAGAAGCAGCAAGTCTGAGAAGATGAACACACCCACCCACTGATATTCCCCCAAACCTACCTCTGATCATGTCCTGGGTTACTTTGCCTTCCATGGAAACTCTAAAAACCTTGAATAACCAGTTTGCACTCCCAGGGTATGGAGCCTCAAAACAGAAATTAAAGCCAAATATAGTGGCATACACTTGTAATCCCAGCACTCTAGGAGGTTGAGGCAGGAGAATTGCAAATTCAAACCCAGCCTAGGCATCTTAGCAAGACCCTGTCTCCAGAAAATCTTTAAAAGGGGGTTCTGGGGATGTAGCTCAGTGCAAAGGCCCTGGGTTTAATCTACAGTACCACAAAAGGAAAACAAAGTAGAAATTAAGTTGTTATCCAAAAATAAAGTTATATTTCCTGCCACCTGTTTATGGAAAGTTGGATCTGTCACCCATCAATTTTCTAAACTAATTTTACTAATTATATGGAAATTACCAATTATCACATCTCAAAAGAGGTGAGCATATTTCCTAGCGTGCTGTAAAAGGTCATTGCAAATTTAATGTATTGCTTATTTTTGCTCATCAAGGAAGAAAGCAAACACTCTAGCTGTCACATTTATGAAATTGGCTGAAATATTATATAAAACACTGCAGATAACAGTACAAGTTCTGTGAAATGAGTTCACTAAAAACACAACTAGCTCACATGGCGGAGCATGCCTGTAATCCCAGCTACTTAGGAAACTAAAGCTGGACTATCATGAGTTCTAGACCATTCTAGGCAATTTAGCAAAAACCTTTCTCCAAAAACAACAACCATCAACATATCTATAGTAAGAATTTTAAATGTTTATTGATTTTATTTTGAAAACAAATGTTAACGATAAACATGTAGTAAGAACAAGTCTTATGAACAGATATTTATTGGGCTAATACAATAAAAAAGATTAAGCTGAAACATTTTGAAGACAGGGTTTAATTTAGTTTAAAATATGAAATATCTTTACAAAGCCTATTTTGCTCAATCAAATGTATTATTATTAAACCATGGGAACTGTTTTGGACACTTTTTTAAAATAAAGGACATTGCTGGAACTAGGGTTGTAGCTTAGTAGTAGAGCACTTGCCTGGCACACACAAAGCCCTGTGTTAGATCCCCAGAACTAAAAAAAAAAAAAATAGTAATAATAAACTGTGCCATCCAACACAGTACCAGTTATCTACCTGTCATTATTTAATCTAAATTTTAATTAGCTAAAAATGAGATAAAACCTTAAATTTACTCCATCTAATTAGCCACATCTCACGTGCTCAAAAACTACATGTGCCCAGTGACTAACCACATTGGACAATACATTTTTATTTTTCAAATTTGTTGTTTATGTTTCCATTGTTATAGAAAAGTTCTATTAGATAAGGCTGCTCTAAATAGCTTATATAAGCAATCACCATAAAGAGTAAACCATATAAACTGGGCAAGTTGATACACGCCTATAATCCCAGCACTCGGAAGGCTGAAGCAAGAGGATCGCTGTGAGCTTGAGACCAGTGAGTTCCAGGTCAATCTCAACCACACAGTGAGACCCTGTCTCAAAAAAAAAAAGAGTACACCATGTAAGTATTGAAATATGTTTGCAAATATAAAGTTTTTTGTAGTTTTGCTTCCTGTCCAAGGGATATTTTTGAGACCAGAAAATGAAAATCTAACTTGAAATCTGCACATGCAACTTCAACTTTATTCTTGCCAATTATATAATTTTACTTTTCTAATTTTATTTTTGACAAATAATAATTGCATATATTTGGGGGCATAATGTGATGTTCTGATAACATGTTTAGGATGTGGATTACTTTTATGTATTAGCTCTATTACTAATAATTTGTATAATTATTTATGAAACTGAATAGTGACGGTAAAGACTACTTTAGATGAATCTAAACTCTAGTCAAAACTCTTTTGCCCTCAGAGTATTGGAGGTTTTATATGCAACATTTTAAAAATTATCTACTTTTTAAAATCTTTGTAGACCTACACTAAATACCTAAAGATTATATGTAGAAAAACTATAGCTAAAGGCAACTACTATAGCAAATTATTTATTTAGACAACACAGAGTATTGAAAACTAAATTCTGTCTAGGCATGGTAGTGCACACCTGTAATTCTGGCATTCAGGAGGCTAAGGCAGGTGGCTCATGAAATGAAAGCCAGCCTGGACTATTCAGTGAGACCTCTTACCAACAAATAAAAAATAAACTTTAAAAACAAATCTCTTGAGCCGGGCATGGTGGCACACTCCTGTAATCCCAGCACTTGGGAGGCTGAGGCAGGAGGATAGCTATGAGTTGAACACCAGCCCGGGCTATACTGTGTGTTCCAGGTCAGTCTCAACTACATAGAGAGACCCTGTTGTCAAAAAACAAAAAACAAAAAACAAAACAAACTAAAAAAAAAAAAAAAAAAAAACCCAAAAACCAAATCTCTCTTTTTGGTCCTGGGATTGAGCCAAAGGCCTCAAGCACGTTAAACACATGCTCTACCAGCTAGCTACACTCTCAGGTCCCCTAAACAACTTATAAAACTATACTAAATTTCACTAAAATATCCTAAAAGTTGAACTTAATTTTCAAAATACACTGCATATAAAAATATGCATTCAATAAAGTGGTCATATACAAAAGCATCTTAAGCTATTTCACAGATCACAAAAATAACAAGACTTGTCAATTTTCATGTAAATTGTAATAATTCACTGGCTGACGTTACTTTCTGTTGAATTTCTTTATCTTACCCCAAAACAAACTAGTTAATATCAATTATCTAAGACAAAGCTGTGGGTCACAAGCAAATGGCCATAATAACTCACACAAGGGAAAAACGTGCTTAATAATAAAAATTTGCATTAAGTAAATGAGGACTGTTTGACAGATTGAAAGCTGAAAGATGGTATTATAGCTGACAAAATGTTTCTTAAACACAAATGATGAAATTGTACTTATTTCCTTTGGATAAAACATTCAAAAATTTCCTTGAAAATTAGGGGCTTAGGTTAAAAATAAAATCCTACTCATGAGCAAAATACATTTTTGAAAACTCTCTAATAATTCTGCCAATATCCTTTAAAACTATTTTTGTCTCATTAAATTTCTAATATTTTCTTTCATTTAAAAATTGTGGGATATAAGTTTGTATTAGTTCTGACTAGTAAAATCTATCTGAAAATATAGAAAATATTAAAACTTTCACCCAGACACTTTGGAAATCAAGAATAAGGTTAGTTTTTTTTTTTTAGGTTAATTCTAAATTTGGTCAAAGTCTTATTATTCACAGTGACATACTCTAAACTTAAACTACTTAAAAGGTATCAAAACATCTCCTGACATAATATTATGGGTTCTCCCTGAGAAAACATCTATGACAACATGTTATCATGAGTAATTAAAAGAATACTGTTCTTGTCAGGAGTAAATCAAAAGAACATTAAGTCTTGTGTCTGGAAGATTTAGGTCAAATAAATGTTATATCAATCCTAAGATTCTGAAGAGTGTATAAGAAAGCCACAGTGGGTATACTGGACATATGTAAATAACACCTGCCTTCTAAATTAGCAGGCTATATCTAAGCTCTGTTGTTTCAATTTACTTGGTAAATACAGAATGTCTATTACATGCAAGTTACTATGCTTGGATTTGTGGTTTGTGCTTCCAACCACAGCTCTCTGCCCATCTATCTGTACTTCACTGATAACGCAGATTTCACCTATCACTAAATGCTAAATATGTTACTCTCTACATTCAAACAACAATGATGACTGTTAGGCATATGCTACTATTCCCTCAATCAGAGGTTCATAGCAGCATCCTACCCATCATTTTGTTATGAGACAAAACCATTACATATCTTCCTATTGCAATTCTGTCTCCCTTTGCAGGCAGAAAAAGAGCTTAGGCTATTTCTTAAGGTTTGTTTCAGAATTATAACTGAGACGCTTACAGCCCATCTAACATTTTTAAAAAACAACACAGCTGACATTCAAATACTTGAGTTGGTTTCATCATTCTCTCTTGGCTCTGGCTCTTCTCAAGGATTCTTCCCTGTAAACTGCGTCTATAAATCGACCACAGTGTTCTTAAGGCCAGATCTAAAACTACGGATACAGTTGTCGATGGCGATCACACACAGCTGCCAGTCACATCCAGTTTCTTCTAGGTCATAAACAGGGAAGGTGTCTTGGAGAAACTCTGGTGATAAAATCCCAAAACAGAACAGTTACTTCTCAGAGAAATCAATTTATTCACCCCTAATTCTACTGCTTTTTTTTTTTTTGGTGCTATGGGGCTAAATTCAGGTTATCACTTGTGCTAAGCACACAGTATTCCATTGAGGTGTACCTCCAGCCCAGTGTCTTTAAAATTTTAACTAAAATGTATCAAACGTGCATCTAGCATGCTATTATCTCAAACACAGGCATACTAAACCGTTATAGGCTACAGGAGGCTGCAATGTTTTCAACCTTGGAGATGCAAGAAGCTGAAACTGCTAAATTTTTTTGCTACTCTTGGATTTATATCTGACAAATGGGATGAGGGTCTTTAGATCTTGTAGTTATAGGATGACTTGCATAAGGGAAAACGACAGCGTAACATAATTCAAGGAGCACTCTGAAAGAAAGTGGGAGGAAAAAAGGAGAGATAGAGAAGAAAAATGTTTCTTAGAAGAAAAGAGTTGCCTTTGATACTTTTTAATGTAATTACCTCAGTACTATTGAGCCCTTACAAGAGAATTCAGTGACCCCTACAAGTTGGCCTTAGTTTGCAACATTAACCTCAGTTGTTTTTCACTAGGGTTAATAGAGTGATAAACAGGACAATACCATTAATACGCCATATATCCAAAATTTTTAGTAAGATGCATCCAAGTGAAAAGGTTTTCATGCCCAAAAGAATAAAGGAAACATCTGTATTAGGTCAGTATCATGCTCTCTCTTGCTGAACTGAATATTTTTATTAACGAAAGGAAGTTAGGGAAAGGCTTGTCCATGGGCCCATGAAGCAAAGCAGGGATGGGTAATTAACACATGGGAAGACAAACACAGCAACTCAAAGCCTGCAACAGACAGTGACAAAGGGCCAAAACTGTCCAGTGTATTCTCTAAAACACTAGTCCTGGAAGGATTTTCTTGAGGAAAAGGCTCCATTGTGTAAATGGGAAATGTTAGTCCCCACTGGGGGATTTACATTACACATGGCATAGTAAATGATTTGAGAAATTCCACAGTATAGGTGGGTAACATTAACAACTGTCGTTATTCAAAGATTCTAAGAGCAGTGGCTCTGGTGGGGCACATAAATGAGGGAGATGATAGTGCATGAGAAGAGGGCCAGACCTGAGCAGAGCTGGCAGGCTTGACAGCTAAAGGTATTCAAAACATGTTTTAAAATTGAGAGTCCACTGAGGCCCTTGTGATGCTTAATAGCTTAAAGTATTTCCTGATTATCTGACTAAGAAGCACATTATTCACCAAATACTTATCAAATCTAGCTGTCTTTGAGAAACAATGTGAGGAAAGCTGACCTATATTAACAGGATAAAATGACGACGAAATAATATGAGATCCTACACTGATATTTAAAAATACTAACAGCAAAAATGATGTTCTGGTTTAGATCTAACATGTGCGCCCAAAGTCTCTGGTGATTGAATCATGGGAGCACTATACTCATCAGTGCATTAGGAAGGGGAGCCAGGTTAGAGGTGGGTCACTAGGGGTGTGCTTCTTGTCCTTGCCTTCTCCTTTCTTTCTCTCTTCTTCTTGGCTGCAATGAGGTAAGCAACTTTCCTCCGCCATGGCCCTCCACTGTGCTGCTTCTGCCTTGGAGCAAGCTGATTATGAACCAAAATAAACCTTGCCTCCTTTAAGTTGCAGGTGTCAGATATTTTGTCCCAGTGACGTGAGAGAGACTATTACACATGATAACAGCCTAAATGTTAACAATGTCAGTACTACATAAATGTCAGTATACAGGAGAAAATATCTTTTAGTTGACCATAAACTTAAAACAAGCAAGTATCACTGTAGGGTATATTAACAACCTAATAGGTAATAGGTAATTGTGGATTGATTTGAGCACAATGTAAGAGAATCAAATAATAGAATCAAATCAGGAAAACATGGCAATATTTAATTATAAAAGTATAAGACTTAAAAAGGAAAAGGTTGGATAGAATGCTTCTTCGCCAACTCAGATGCTTCAGATGGAGATATCTCTCTCTACATGTTAAGATTTTTTTTTTACTACAAGTTGCAGTAAAATTTTAAAAAGTGGAAAAAATTAGGTCAGATGATAGCAAATGCTTACAAAAGGAGTTGTAAGCAGAGCTTCTTTAGTTTAGTATAAAACACAATGTTGTTTCAATTTGCTGTATACGAAGGAGGAACCAACTGAAATTAGGTTAGGTGGGGTTCAGAGCTATGTCTTTCTGAATACCAGAAACATAAGAAAATACTCTGCTTCCTACTTTGTCCAAATTTAAGATTTCATACAATTGCTTTTAGAAGCTTTCTTACTTCATACATATGCCATAGATAGAGACCATACTGAGCTAATATTCATTTTAAAAAACTAGCAAATTAACCTGTTGTGGTATTGTTTGCACTTCTGCAAACTGATGAGGCCTTTCAACTTTGACATTAAGCCTCAATGAAGGTGTTTGAGTTTCCATACTCTCAGCAGGGAGGAGAGAGCAGGGAGTTAGTCAATAACCCCTTTGCTGTCACAATGAAGCCATTCAAGGCAGAGCAATTTGCCCTAAGAATCCAAATGCAAAAAGAAGTACAATTAATGAATTTTGTTATTCTCTAACAAGGGACTTGGTACACAAGTACCACCTCTCCTCAAAACATACACAAGCTAGATGGATTCTTCTTTCTGGCTTTCTTCCCCAAAACAACTGGCTTGTATTTATTCCAACATACTCTACACGTAACAAACCTCGGAGGGCATTAATCCTGTTGGAGTCAAGAGCACACAGGCCTTGCTCCAAACTGCCATAAACGTTACTTCTGATCAGGACATCATCTGTGAACAGGTGGTGGAGAAGGTATTTGGCTGAGTGCTCCGGGCGACACATGGATTTCGCTACATCTATCACTGAATTTGGTATCTTTATACATCTGAATGGATATCCAATATATCCTAGAAGTAAAAAAGAAAGGCATCAATTTTCACAGTGGATGATACGTTGCATTTTTTAAAAGGCTTTAACAAAAAGGCTGATTTTTCTGATTTTGGGGGGGGGGTACCAGGGACTGAAGCCAGGGTCTTTTGTTTCACACTAAGCTACATCCCTTTTTTAATTTTTATTTTGAGTCAAGGTCCAGCCTAGGCTCCACCCTGCAATCTTCCTGCCTCAGCCTTCCAAAATGCTGGGATTACAGGCATGAGCCACCATACCTGGTGATTTTTCTGAATTTTTAGACTTGAGAATCTGTGAGGTAGCAAAGAGAAATGAGACAGAAATCACTGATAATGTGATTATGCATGTTCTCATTGTTCAAAAGGAAGATACAATAAGTTTTAAAATTACATTTACTAATAAATTCTAAGTAGTTTTAATTACTGTTTTCTACTTATAAGAAAAGCTTTTCTCAGGGCCGAAGATTTAGCTCAGTGGTGCTGCCATCTGCCACACAAGCACAAGGACCCGAGTTTAATCCCTGGTACCAAAAAAAAGCTATTCCCAAAATAAGCACCATGATTCTTACTGAAATATTTTAATTTTTTTAAAATGTAGGTTTTCTACTTAGTATTAAACCCTTCATTTTATAAATCAATGCACTTGCTGATGATTCATCTCAAATATATTTTAGATATATCTGAGCTAACAAAATAAATGTTAAGCTTTTCAATTCTCAATTCTATAATTTATCTTCATCTCTCTGCAATTCATAGCGATATGCTTAGTTGACCTGTTCCCAGACAGAGCTCTGTATAAAACCTGTAACCCAAGCTCCCCAGATGAGATACTTTTTCTTTCCCATAGCCTTGGGGCCACTCTTGGGGCCTACCTCCTACCTACGATGGGCTTGGTTTGTGCTTTGCTTCTGTAAGTACAGGAGCTAGTTATCTGTTGATTTTTGTTTAATTTAGCCAGTCTGTTTCTACAATGTGTACAACCTTAACAGATTCAGCAGTTTGATTACTTTTATATTGGAAAAATAAAATGTACCACTTCAATAATTCAGTTTATACAGGATCGAAGGTAATATTCTACTGAAGGTTGATATGAGACAGGGTAGAGACACAATAAAGTTTGCCACCTCAGGGACACTTAGTGATGATGCTAAAGGCCAGCAGTACACTAAGGGGTTGGTGGAACTGTCCCTTACAGAACCAAATGAAAGCAGGATGTAACTTCAAAAGACAGCTGGCAGTGGGAATGCAACATTCTGAAGAATGGGATTCATTAATTCATGCCATAAACTACTGCTGAGCATAAGCACTGTGCCGGCACACAGAGAATTTGAACTTCCAGCTGATCCCAGCTGCAGCTCCTTCCCCTTCACCTGCAGAGGCTGGTGCCTCATCTGAGAGTTTACACTACTCAGATGAGTGGGTAAAAAGCCGCTCTCCACAGGAAAAATAACAGATTCAGCTTAACCTTACAAATGACCAGTTTTAGAACCAAGCATCTATATTGTATTAGCTCATTAATATGAGGTTAAATAGCTTCAACTTATGAAATTTTTTCCAACATATATAAAAATAGAGATTAACATGGTGAATCCCCTGAACACATCACCCAGATCCATAATCCACCACAATTATTTATTTTTTAAATTTACCTAGTGATCCAGGAGCGATAACTGCATTATCACTGCTGCCAGGTTTAGTATTACTGATCTGCACAGAATTCCTATTTTCTCTTATTTCTAAGGCCCTTGTATGGAGACAACTGAGAACTATCCTCACCACCACCAGCCCTTCAAGTATGTGTACAGATATTGGTGTAATGGGGTTGGGGGGGTCTTTATTTTTGTCAGCAATGTATAAATCAAGTCTCATAATAACAAAGTATGTACAAACACCCTTCATTTAACAACCCATTTCCATTCTTGTGACTGTCTTAGTTACTCTTCTTGTTGCTGACAAGCAAAGTTAAAAGGGGAAAAGTTTATTCTGGCTCATAGTTTGTAGAGTTCTCAGTTCATAGTTGGCTGGCTCCAAGAAAGGGTGACATGGCAGAGCAGCATCACAGAGGATAAACCATTTATGGCAGGCAGAAGGCAGCAAAGCAGTGAAATAGTGAAGTAGCAGCAAGTAACAACAGCGGCCCTCTTTCCATCCCTTATATTGTAACTGGGCTACCCACCCTAGCACTCATACCCTTAGTCCTAACACCCTTAATCCTAGCATTGCACCATGAATCAAAACCGGTATCACATCCTAAAACTCAGCATCACACACCCTAGATCCAGCCACCTCTGAAAAGCTCTACCTATAACCACATGGTACTTGGGGGAAAATCCAGATACAAGCCATAGCATCTGCTAAATGAGAAATTATATATAGTATGTACATTACAGTATTCAGCACAAAGAAACTGTCAAAGAAAACCTCAACCTGATGACTTTGCTTTTACTTGCATAACTCTTACTGTAATATACAACAGAACATAAAACTACAATACTGTACCATACATAGTCAGCAAAAATTACAATACTTTACTATAAAGAAGCTACCATAAGGCAGCACTGCTACTCACATTCCCGTGACATAAGTCCAAATGTGAGTTGTAAGTCCAAGTGGTGGGTTGTGAACAATTGTTAAACAGGTAGGTCATTAAATGAGGAATTCTGTACATGCTCCAGCATCTACCAGGAACTTGTAGATTGGTAGGGAAGCAACAGCTCCACAATGGTGGGCTGACATTATATAAATACTGTGTGCCACAATACTACCTGAAAGGAAGCAGAGGTGTGGATGCTCCCTCACGCTGCCATGACTTGCTGCTTCTCGGGGACCTGGTAGCTCTGTCTGATGAACTGAACAATAATTACTGGCACAAAGTAAGTGCCTGACAAATATTCCACAAATAAATGAGTAAACAGGTTTCTTGGGGATGACAATTTGTGCTTGTTTTTAATGTTTTATTTTCTCTTTCCCTAGTGGATTTCTAATCTGGCTATACATCTGAATTACCTTTGGAATCTTTTTTTAAAAAACAGCAACACTCTCAGGGAATTCAACCAGAATCTGGTGGTGGAAGAGAATTGGCAAGAGTAATGTTTTTTAAAAAGGTCTTATGTGGTTTTAATATTCATCCAGGAGTAACAATGACTGCCCTAAGTTGGGGCTTCTCAAACTTTAGTGTGCTCACAAACTACCTGAAGGGTCTTGCTAAAAGGTAAATTCTGCCTCAGTGAGTCTGATGTAGAGACCAAGGACTGCACTTTCAAACTATCCTGAGCTGCTGCTGCTTTGGGGCCAAGGATCCACTTTGAGTGTCAAGAACCTATTCAGTTATTTGTCAAGCATACAGCAGGCACCTGGCAGATGTTGCCTCTCTTCTGATGCACAAGCACACAGGCAAATTATCATTTTCCAGGCAGCATCTTAATTTTACATGCAAATTTTGGGTGCAGTTTTTGAAAGCTATAAAATGGAATGTTAAAAATAAGCAGACTGGTTTTAGACAGATGGTGCTTGAGCTATCACTGAAATCAAACCGTTCACCAGGAAAACATAAGTTCAGCTACAAATATTCTTGGCAAAGAGTTTCCATAAACTTACTCCAGGAGGTAAGAATAACTAGCCATAGCAAGAATAAAGTGGGGTTTTAGAGAGGTTGGTAGAAATTAGAAATCGTCATTAAGTTAAATACTTTATCAGGAGAAGACAATAGATATGACATTCTTCCCTAATGGCTTTTTTAGGATATAAAAAGTCTCTAATGTATTTTGAAGACAAACTGGTTGAGAAACAAATCAGATTCCTGTTACCATTTTAACTATGTAGGGTGTAAAATATTTGTGATAGTTTAACCTCATGACAATCATTATTTTTACCATATTCCACCATCACTGGCAGGGAACAAGTAAGGAAAGGCCTGCCTTGAGGTCCTCAGCCACCAATGAAACACAGTCAAGGAACATACACAGTTGGTTCCTTTTCATGTTACTTGGTGAGATACTGAAAAAGATTTTCTAAACATCTCTGTAGCTGAAACGTTTTCCATCATAAGCCTTCATTTCAAGTGTACTAATCATAACACTATATTTGATTTTTCTTTAGGTTATTTTATAGTGTATAAAAGTCAAGTAGTGAAACAGGAACTATGCCTTTGAAAGAACATCTCCTGTCCCCTTAAGTAAATGAAATGTTTAGCACATGGCCAAAAGATTCTGTGTGTTATACCATCAGTTATGCAGTTGTATACAGTATGGACTTGTGAAGCAGTTAACATACTTGATGAAAAATAACTTACTGAAGTACTTTTGGCTTTAGAACCTAAACAGCAAATCAGAGAACTGATAGGGAAATACAGGCTTTTCAGTCTTTTCCACATTCACTCAAATCAAAGTTGATAAAAAGTGCTGCCAGATATTCTGCAAAGGGCAGAATGTATTCAGGAAAATTAGAAATGAAATTAACAAAAAAGAGTAAGAAAATTTTATTTAAAATAAATACAGACTTTTTCTATTACTAATTGCCATTCTTCTCCCTACCTCATTCTGAGTTTAAAAGTTTCACCCAATGGGGATGCTCTGCAGAATACGTGTATTTCTTCTCACAGGAATTACCCTAAAACACTAACCTAGGAGGTCAATACTAACATCTTATCTTGATGCTTTTAAAAAGTGTTTAATCAAAAGCCAAATAGTGCAAGGTGCTAAGACTAGTAATTCAATGGATAAGTCAGAACTAAAAAGAAAAGGCAACTTGTAAAGAGAAAATAGACTCGCTGCAAACATTATGACACCACACTTTATCTTCCTGTGCACTTACCCCATAAACATAAATTGCCCATAAACATCTCTCCTATACCCTTTACCTAGCTAAGAAGTCTTCTGATTCGCATGTCTGTCCTTAGCAAAACTTACTGGAACTTCCTCAAAGAAGGTGTTCTGCTCTGTGAGCTTCCTGTCATTATTACCACATTGGCCTGGAATTTCTGCTGCTGCTGATATGTCCCA